AAAAAAACCCCAACAATAAACAAAAAAACTACTTGTGGTACTGGGGATCTAACCCAGAACCTTGCATATGCTAAACAAGCATGCTACCATTGAGTTACAGCCCCAGCCTGCTTTGTTTGATTTTAGACTTAAGCATTATTCACTGAATTCTGGCCCTAGATGTTCCCTCTCCAGTAACCAAATCATCACCTTTTTCTGAAATGCTGAGAAGTAGAACATTTCTGCACTGGCAATGTTTCTTAGTGAGACTGGCCACATCAGCTGTGGTTCATTCTTACTGTGCAGTAATATGCAGCCTTAGTGATGAGATCAGAATGCTTGATGGCATGAAGCATACACACAAATTCATTAAAAGTATGTGCATATCTATCAGAAAATTGTACAGCATGCTATAAAATATATATAATGATATAATATATATACACAATGATAGAAAAAAGTCTGAAGGAATATATCAAAATATTAACACTGATTACCTCTAAGTAGTAGCATACTTTTCTTTGCCTCTTTAAAAAATTTCTCCTAGAATTTCTGAAATAAATATGTATTATTTTAATGTAAAAAAGTTTAATAAATGTAAACTTACATGTGTTCATTTAAGAATATTTACTGAGCCTGGTGAGATGGCTCAGCGATTAAGTGGTGCTCTTGTAGACAACCTGAGTTTAATTCCTAGCATCCACATTGGGTGACTCACAACTGACTGTAACTCCAGCTCCAGGGGCATCTGATGCTTCTGGCCTCCATGGGCACCTGCACTCACGTGCTCATGTTCCCCCCATCTATACATAATTAAAAACTAAAAATAAACCTTTGAAATTTTTCTTTAAATATTTGTCTCCTATAAGTAGAGCAATGGACACACAGCAAGAAGATGCATGTGACCCAAATACCATGGGTAATGCATTCTAGAAACTCCTCAAGGTACTGTTTTATCTTCAAATAATGTCTTCCAAGAAATGCACCTAACAAAGAATATGTTTCATGGATGAGGCTTTTTTTTAAATGTGCATACATTTCTGGTGTTGTTGAAAAGAGCAATGTTATTTTAAGATAAATTTGGACATAAAGGCTTACACTTCTGGTGGATTCTGGAAGATAAATCCCCGACAAAACGATGCATATTGTTCAAACCCATAATAAAAGCAAGCAAAAAAAATAAAAAAAGAAAAAGAAAAAAAAGAAAGAAAGAAAGATCTGGAAATCCTTCTAAATTAAACAGAGTTCATTAACTTGCCTTTGGTGTCAAAAGATGTCCAAATGCTAAAAGGTCTGAAGGCGGAACCCTTTGAAAACTTTAGGATCAGATGCCATCATAAGAAATGTGTGAAAGTTGTTGGTAAGTGAGGATAATTTTGGACTCAGCTGTGTCTGGTGTTCTATATATAGGATATTGCATATTCTTTGCAGGCCTGTCCTGCAAAGAAAAAAATTAATAAAATAATGTTCTGCCTAAACATAAATATAATCACAGTTTAAAAAGAGAGAAAGAGTGAGAATGTCCATTTCTCATGTTATCATGAATCCCTACTTTTGTTCTGAAATAAGACTAAATTAAATGTATTCATTTCACAGCTTAGAGGTTTTTAATAGCTTAAATCCATTTTAGAATGGCTTTAGCTTTTTTAACAACACTTGCTTTCCCCCTAAACAAAGCAAAACAAAAGCAATCCCAGCAACAATAACAAATGCCCTGCCGAATCTATGGTGACAGTGAGGTGCTGCACTTGAGTATTTGGTAACTTCTTGTTCTTCCCTTGTAGCCATCTGGGCAGGAGGGAAGATATTTTATTTATTTTTAAAAATTTGGTAGGAGAGGCGTTGTGTGTGTATTTGTCAGTGTGCAGGTGCACTAACTCTGTGTGTGTGTGTGTGTGTGCGTGTGTGTGTGTATAAGACAGAGATAGATATTGAATGTCTTACTCTATCACCCTCCATCTTTATTTTTTAAGACAGCATCTGTTACTAAACCCAAAGTTTACCAATTAGACTAGTCGGGCTGGCCAGTGATTAAGGTGGATTGGCTAACCAGTGAACAAGGTCTTAGGATCTTCCTATCTCTGTCCCCCCAGCCTTGGGGTCACAGATACTCACCACTTTACCCAGCTTTTATGTGGGTACTGAGGATCCAACTCCCCAACCTGAGAAAAGGCACCCCCAGGAAGCAATGATTGAGGGGGGATATGAGGGAAGGAGGGAGGGAAGGAGGGAGGGAGGGAGGGAGACACGTGGAGGAGTCTAAAAGAGACTGAGATCATAGTGAGAGGCATAGTAAGATAGAGCTTGAACACCTAGTCAGGGCCACATCCTTAAGGGCCTAAATCTATGTTTGAAGGAATTTCACCTCTAGAGATGAGTAATTAACGTCATGGTCCATGTGGAGAACAGATTGGAGCTACTGTAGTCCTTTCCTTAAGAGGAACATGACTTCACTCAACGACTGCAACACAGCTAGGCAGTGAAGGATCAGAGATTACATCATTAAGGGTCCAGAGAGCTCTGGAGAGTTTAGGATCTAACACTGACTACTTTGTGATCTGGGGCAGCAAGCTGCGCATCTCTGATCCATGGTGTTCTACCTGTAGTATGAGGAGGTTCATCTCCATGGTGATGAAAAGTCTGCACTGTATTTCTGGTGCAAATCATGACAAAAGAAGACTAGAAAGGTTCTAGAAATGTTCATACATATGAACTAATAGAGCTTTCAACCTGTAACTCTCCTCAGAGGAGCCATGAATTGCTGAGAAAACAAATCACAGTGACTCAGTTGAGTAAAGCCACACACGTAGCTATCCAGTGTGGGTGTTGTGAAGCTAAGCCCTGACTGCTCTTTCTGGAGCCTCTGGGAGTGTCTCTAGGCAGCTCACATCCCTCAGCTTGTGCCTGAAGCCAACATACTGCATTTCTCTGCAGCTTTCTCCTATTGTCACATCTCTCCCATCTACAGTTGGAAAGTTCTGGCTTTAAGAAAGCATGTTTTGCTTTGTGATCTATAACAGGGCTCAGTTAAGCTGTTGTCACTTAGTAAGTGATCATTAATTTGAACAACTGTGAGATGGAGGACACTATACTAACCTTATCAATGGTTCTCTACCTCTGTCCCCTCAGTCACCATTGCACACACCCAAACTCATACAGTCTCACAGCGAGAATGCTGTTGCCACTGTCCATACAGCAAGGCTATAAGCTCCTGAGCTGTGGAGTTACCTGCTTAAGGCCATGCAGTTAATAGGCAGCTTTGCCAAAGTTTGAATATTATTCTCTCAGTTTCTAAGTTGGTTCTCTTTCCAGTACACAAAGAAAAAATTCACAAACTGATGCTTCAGAAAAATAGAGTGCATTTCTCAAATTGCCCATTATCAACCCGGTAGCATAGAGACCCAAGTTTCTCTTGATTGTGTAGGAACCGCTGCTGTGACTAAGGACATTTACAGGAACTGGAGCAGCTGATTTGAGACCTGGAAAGCAGAGGGGGTGGGAGGAAGGGCAGAGTCCCAGCCACTGCACTCCTGAGGATTGACTCAGGCAGGGAGGCTGAGAGGGCTCCCACTCCACTTTTTTTTTTTTAAATCATTGTCATTTGAGCCTGAATATCGAAGAACATAACTTGTTCCAGAAAGAAAAGTGTTGGTGGCGGGGACCTCCACCCCACTTCACACATGGCAGTCACCCCATTGACCTCCAGATCTCTACTGAAATGATTTCCTGATGCCAATAAGTTACGGTGTCAGGTGATGCTTGGTGTGCCTTCTTCTGCCTCAAACAGCTCGTGTTCCAGTCCCCAACCCCTGTGACTATGTTGTTTCAGATGGCAAAGGGTGAAGCACAGAGGCTCTGGGATAGAGGGTTGTCCCGGATTACCTGTGTGGTACCCTCCGGGGCTAGATGGCAAAGGGTGAAGCACAGAGGCTCTGGGATAGAGGGTTGTCCTGGATTACCTGTGTGGTACCCTCCGGGGCTCTGGGATAGAGGGTTGTCCTGGATTACCTGTGTGGTATCCTCTGGGGCTCTGGGATAGAGGGTTGTCCTGGATTACCTGTGTGGCATCCTCCGGGGCTCTGGCTTTGACTAATTTTTCTTTCGTTGTGTGTGCTTTGGCATTGTACATAAGAAATCACTGATAAATATGTCATGCAGCTTTTCCTATCTGTTTTCTTCTAAGCATTTTATATATTTATCTCTTATACTCAGGTCTATCATTGTTTTTGAGTTAAGCTTATATGTGGTATTAGGCAATGCTCCAACTTCATTCTTTTACTGTCAATGTATATGTTTCCCAATACCATTTATTGAAAACTTCAGTTTTTAAATTTTTTATTATGTACTTCCCTTATAGTAATATTGTCAACTCTTTGTTATAGCTCATATTTCCTTCCAATGGAAGATCTCCCATAATTTTAAGACCTATGATGTCTACACGATCAGGACAAGTTAGCATATATCACAGCAATAACAATCCCGTCTTCGAAGAGTAATTTAATAGTAATAATTTATTCCCTATTTGGTTGTGGGTCTGAACAACAGTCCACATGTTGGACTAGGAGTCTAGGCTGCTTTGGTTAAGGACCCTTCACATTAACACTTATTCTACAATTGCTATTCCAAGGAAGCTAGAGCAAGGTGTCTCCAATACTGACTGTTAAATGCTTCTACTTGGAATTAAACACCTGACACTTCTACTTATTTATAATGGGACTTAAACACGCCATAAAGGTGTAAAGGGAGCAGAAAGTACATGCACTCAGAAATAGAGAAGGGACAAGTGATGGTTGCTGCATGACTCTTCCTGAAGAG